AGCCAATATGGCTTCTGCGACTAGCAACCGGTGTCCTTTGAAGCATCCGGCAGCACCCCAAGACGACAGCGCAGATCGGTTAAGAAAGGAGAGTGGCCAGCATGTTGTAACTGGTTTGCATCTAGCCTAGCCACATCTAGCCACACCGCTTGAGGCAAGGGGGGTGGCCCACAACCGCAGGCAACAGATCGAAGCCCAACCTGCCTCAATCCAGGAAGGACGGACAGAGCTGAAGCCAGCCCTGCCTGATAGGGGATGGGGAGAATGACAGACCCCGACCCGAACCCGTCCGAGCCCGTTCCGGGGGGGGGGGGGAGGTGGGGTGAACACAGAACGACCCGACAAGGTTTCCGACTGTCAAAATACGTCAGAGACATGACTTGGCAAGTTCGTGGAGTGGCTTTGTGACACTTTCACACCTAGTGCCTGAGCATGGCTTTGGTAGTTCGCTCTAGTGTCCGACTCCAGTGCAGTCGAGATGTGGCACATCGAACAGGTCACAGGCATCATTCGGCAGCAGCTGTTCGAGAGGTCTCTGCATGGCATGTTCTTGAGTCGTGGATTTGAGCTGTTCTATCTGCACAGGTGTTTGAATTACTCCGACAAGCCGGATCAAGGAATGGACTTCCCAGGATTCCTGCAGCTCATGCAATGGTGGAAGCCCCCGCGTGTGGCAGCCCAAGTCTACTTCAGCGAGAGATGCCAAGGATGGTCGGTACGAACTTTGGCAACATCCTCTCTGCTGCAGAGAAGACGGTGAAGCCTTCGGCTTAAAGCTGGGCTGCTTGCAAGCCTTGCAGGCAGTGCTTAGCTGTGAGGTGTTCAGGAAGCCACAGACTTGTCAGAACAGACACAGCCTCAGGTCGGAAGGTCTCCGATCCGGTTCAACAAGCCGGAGCCCCAGAGGAAAAGAGACGCGGTCAGAGCAGAGCCGAGACCCTTTGCTGAGCGCGAGCTGAGCGCCTGAAGGCGCTCCTGGAGGGCTGCCGGAGGCCTCGGGAGGCAAGTTCGGGCACATGGAGAGCGTCAACGTCCGCTCCAGGCCGCAGGGCAAGGGGCAGAATTTTTTTGTTGGGTGCGGTGTTTTGGGCCTAAAATGCGCTTGTGTGGCCTTTGGCTGCAGGAAATACCTTGGCTGAGCCAGGGTGTCCGGATCCTTCGGAAGAGTCGGGACTGTGCAGGATAACTTCACAGCTCAGGCTACCGACGGAAGCGGTTAACGGTTAACGCCTGACAGTCTCGTCAACTGTCTCATATGTACACAGCATGGCGCGGGCTTGCCGCCATTTGCCGCCCTTGCATGGCAGGTAGCGATTGTGTGCTTGGAAGTAGTGTAGCTGAACATTTCGAGAACAGTTAGTCCAGGAAGCAAGCAGATCCTTCGTTTCTGAGTCGGTTTGCACACGACTTGTTCCTGCCGTTGCAGTCGTAGACGCAAAGATCCAAGCCGGAACCTCAAGGGTTCCGCGCATCCAGTGCATGGTTTTGAAATCAAAAAGCAACGAGCTCTGCGCTCGCAGCTCAGCATGGGCTTTCACGAAAAGCCTTCAGCATGCGGGCGAGCTTTCTCACATTGCATGGTTCTTGGGTTGTCGCGTGACTTTGTTGCCGACCTCGCACGTTGGAGGTGCCTTTGCTGCAACAGCATGACAGAGGATTGTTGGGTAATGGCATAGTGAACAGGCAAGCAAAAGCCATAGCAGTTGCGCCGAAGTGGTATGTGTGGAGGATTGTGGAATGCAAAACAGGGGCAGATTCTCACCGTTGCAGCACATGCCCAGAGTGCCCGCGAGCCAATGATGGACTCACCAGGCCAGGCGTTGAAGTGTTCCCAATTTGAAGTTTTTGTCTCTTGGGACGTTGGCAAGTAGCGGGGTCCAGAATTCGTTTTCGTTGCATTCGCTTCCTTGGAGGCTTTTGCAAGTTTAGTTTGCGGTCGCTTTATGTCGCTTTGCCATGTCGTCTTGGGGAGAGTCGGTGATCAGTTTATGCTTTCCCAGTATAATCGAAACAGCAAATGAGATCTGTGAGCGGCGCAGATGTACTTGCAGCGCATCCACTTCTGCCACTCGTTCCCCATGGGAGCTGGCAGGCTTGTACAACAGCATGGACAGCAATGATGAACTGGCAGCGCATCTGGGCTGCAAAAATCAAGTCCGCATCAGACATGTGCTGTTGCTATATTCCTCTCATAGACATGTCCACAGCAGATGTTTAATCCCAAAGTCCCAAATCTCCTCCCATTCTGAGCAAACTGCCTCTGCTCAGGGGCGATGAGGACTGGCCAGGCTCGCAGAGTCGTCGCATCACATTTCTGCCACCGGAAGATACTCGTGGGGGCACTAGCTCCTGTCGGCTGTCCTTCGTCGCCTCCTTTCGTTCCCAAGACTCTGCTTGCGCTGCGCTCTGGTCCCAGTCGCTGCCGAGTATCAGAGCACGGGAACCGCCCCTAAGCAGGCGTAGGCTTCGCACATGGGCCAAACCTGGTCCTGTCCACTTGAGCCTAAACTTCATGTCAAGTTTGCCGCCCCTGAGCCCTGAAGAAAACCCTCGGTTCGGTTCTTTGAGATGCCCAAGGCTTCTGTTTGGCAAGCTAGTGGGCTAATGGGTAACTCGGCTATCATCTATTCTAATTAAGACAAAACGAATCCCAGAAATTATTATGTGATTTTAACAGTGAAGGAACATCCAGTGAAACAAGACTTCTATGCCCTGGAAAGTGCATCACGAAGGGTGATTCTGAAGGAGGAGTGGATGCCATGAAAAATAGGGCTTTTGACTCATGAAAACCAAGAATTACTAGAAGATGAGGTGACATTGATATCAAGAAAATGAAAGGAATTTGTGTTTATCTAAAATGAGCTACTCGCGTGTGCAGATCGCTATCAAGTTGCTGCCAACTGAACAATGTTCGTGGTTACTTTGATGGACTTGTTACACGTGTCGCAGGCCGTACTCATAGGTTTTAGAAACGTCGAAGACGCCTTCGGACAGGCAACGACTTGGAAGAGCTGCCTTTCGTCGATTCACCCGCGGCGATCACATTGTCCACGGAGTGCCTTTGCGCCCATCACTAGCTGACTAGCTAGGCACACAACCCTCAATCCTGGTAGACTGCCTCTGTTGCGAAATAGCCTGGGAATTGCAAGCTCCGGAATCCAAGTCAGTTCGCAATTCCAGCAAAGGCAGAAGCTGGACGCGATCTTGATGTTCTGCAAAGAGCAAGCCGATCATTTTGCCAGCGTTCGCATGGAGCCTCTTATCTGAATGTCTTGCGGCAAGAGTTATTGACGCTCGTCAGTTCTGGCTTGCGGCTTGGTCTCGGGAAGCTGTACAACGCCGTAGAGGCTGCTTAACACAGGAACAAGACTTCTTCAGAGCTTCCACCAATTTCTGCATATTCTTGCAGCAGTGTGTTTTGAGCTTCCATGTCAGTTCGGCCTAGATGCTCTCCAGCCTTTGGCAGGCTGCAGAGTATGGACGACAAGTTGAGCCATGGCCTGCCACCAGTGGTGTGTGTGTGTGTGTGTGCGTGTGCGTGTTCCTGGGTGTAGGTGCTCTTGGGGGGGGGGGGCGAGGTAGGCGTAACAGCGGATCCCGTACCGCAAAAATCTTCATGGGATTCTGGGATGGGCGGGCATGGCCTGCTCCGCTCCACCCCAACCAGCGCAGTGAGCCACCTCTGGGGCGTGTGCTCGACTTGGCGGCGCCCACAGGCCCCAATCATGCCACTGCGCGGGTGAACACGGCGAACGATGTGGAATAGGTGGTCTGCCTGCTCGCGTGGGTACAGGTGGCCAGGGAAGCGATGGGGGCGGAAGGCCAAGTCGTTCGCCTGCCTTTTCGGCCCTAGCGAAGGGCCGCGGCACGTCGCACCCTTCGGGCTGGGCAGTTATGTATAGGTCCGTGGCAGGAGACGAGGGACAAGGGACACTTTCCTAACGAATACGCCCCGGTGGTTTTTGGTGGTCGAGCACCACATCTTGTCCCGGGGATGATCCAGGATGTACTTGCTAGTGCGGGAGTGGGGCATGGTAGGCTTGCGCATGCATGCAATGCTTCCTGCATACAGCTGCTGCCCTTACGGTTGCCGGCAATTGTTTTCGGTGTTCAGCTTCTCAGCTCCACTCCCTCCTGGATGAATAAAATCTCTGGCTGTGCACTGGTTTGTATTCCTCGAGCCGTATTGCTATGGGAATTGGTTTTCCAGGACCGTTACGCGGTAGCATGGGCGCGGGCCGTCATGCTTCGGAGGTGTTTTGCAACAGACCCTCGCTACAACCATGAAAGCTCAAATCTCCTGCACGCGGGTGTGCACAGGAAGCATGCCGTGCAGACTTTTTACTACCGTCAAGACCCAGTCGTGCCTACTTCCTACCCTACGACTACCGCTATCGGCGGGCCGGGACGCGGTCCGGCAGCACAAGGCTCGGTCGCCAGGCAACGTGGTCGCAAGTGCTCGTTGCGCCACCGTGTTTCGCTCGTGCTTGGCCGTCGCGGGAGCTCGGAACCTGGGTGCGGCCGCCGCGAAAACGTTGGACACATGGTGCCCCAACAGTGGCTCGTCAGCACCGCGTCGCGCCCGACGATCGCAGGCGCCTCGACCTCGTCATCACGGTGACGCACTACGGGGTGGAACCCTCTACACAGATGGAGTTGTTCAGCACCGCCTCCCGGCGCAAGCACGCCACCTACCCCGAGCTTGCAGCATGGGGCGCGCGAACCCTGCGCGTGCCAGGCTGCGAAGTGCGTGGGCGGTGGAGTCCGCCGGCTGTGCGAGCCCCTGCAAAAGATGTGTGGGCCCGCCGCTGGTGGAGCGTGCTTTCTGCTGCTGCCTAAAAGACCGTTGGTCACACAGCGCTGGGGTGCGCCCCGGGCCAGAGCCGCCTGCTGCTGCTGCGCGGAGCCGGCTGGGACCGAGCTTCCCCTAGGAGCCGGGCCTAGCCGAAACGCAGTTGCCGACGGAAAAGGTTTCGTCGGAGGAAATAAAGTTCGGATGCTGCTGAGACGATTCGGCATGTCCTGTTTCATGATGATGTCACCCTGCAGTTCCTGGCGCAACTGCCCACATGGACAACCAGTGGACAAACAGTGCCACGCGTGTGGCTGTGGGTGGAAGCTTGGGTGGGGCTCGAGTAGGAAGTTTTTGTTCCGTGTGCATGACGAGGGTCCAGCGAGGTCAAGCCACCCTAGCCTAATCATACATAAGCAAACTTTCGGCTCCTGAGGCCGAACGGGGCTAGCGCAGTAACAGTCGGCTGCCGGCGAGGTCGAGCACACACGGTCTAGCTCCGGTGCAAGGGCAGTCGGGCCGAGCTGGAGGGGACTTCAAGGTGGGGCACGTTTTTTCGCGTTTTCGCTCGGCCATGGCCTCGGCGGGAGCGTCGGCACCCTGCTTACGCTGTGGATTGGGTCGCCATGCTGCGGCTAGCAGCTGCGCCCATTCTCCTCGTCGGAGAGCCGCCGCTCGGGCCAGCAGTTCGTCGCGCCCTCGCGCTCCGCATGAAGGGCGGCACGTCCTGTAGTAGCGTAGGCACGGGGCATCGGAGTTCTTCGGCCAAGTCCACTATGTCCAAGGCCAGCCATGCCGTATTGGGGACATTCGGGGACTCCTGCTGGCGTCGCGTTTGCAGCGGCGTCGTGGTCTCCGGCAGCTGGCGGGCAGGCTGGAACACGTTCGTTGACGCAGGGGTTGGCACCGCACTTCCTTTTGCCAGGGCTGGACTCGGCACGGAATCTATTGCGAGGGTCCGTGAACAACAACCTCGGGACATATGCAGAAACGGGCTGGGGTTGCACAGTAAAGAACACTGTATCGTCGTATCGTGTTGCCGGTTCTGGCCGTGTTGGAAAACATTCCGACGCCCATTCCTTGGATGCGGTCCTCTGCGTGTTGTCCGCGATGCACATCTTCCCATGTGTGTGTCGTGCGCGCGAACGCAGAGATGTTTGTGGTCGCAGACAATGTACTACTTGCCCCAGGCTCTGCTGCTGAGCGCTCCGAGGCAGATGCTGCGCTCGGCACCGCAGGGACAATGTTGTCCGTCCTACTAGAGATGGTCTCCACGTTTAAGTCGGGTTGGCGTGACTGTGACTCGGACTCGACGGAATCAATTTTGGAAAAAATATGGCGCTGCAGTGTCCCCACACCGTCAGGGGAATTTTCCCGAAACCTATTCCGTCGCTTTGCGATGCCTTACGCCGCCTGGTTGGGCGACCCTTGGCACAATCCTTGGCACGACACTTCGAGCATGCTTGCTTCCCTCACCAATACGGCCCCAGCACGCGTGCCGGCAGCGACGCTTTGCCCCGCGTCCTCCGCGCGGCTGCCGAGGTCGATGCCCGCGCTAAAATCCTCTCCGTGGACGCAGTGGGTGCATTTGACCATGCTTCTCGCGAGGTCATGCTCGGCGCCCTCCCAGCCCGCCCGGAGCGGAGCTGCGCCCGCTCCTCCTTTTTGCCCGTCAATTCTATGGTCTTCCCCGCTCCTATGTTTGGGTTGACGAAGCAGGCACCACGCATCGTGTAGCACAGGGCGAGGGCGGGAACAAGGGGACCCCTCGCCCTCGCCCTACAACAGACCGCAGTCGAGGAGGTGCAGTCGCAGCTCAGGGACGGCGAAGCGATACTAGCCTACCTTGACGATACCTTCATCGTGTCCTCGCCCGAGCGGGTGTGCGAGCTTTATGGGTCCTACCGGTGCGCGCTTTTGGCCCACGCGCATGTCGCGCTCAACCGCTACAAAACCGAAACGCCGCCGGCGAGGAGCCTCCCAGAATCTCCGCCCTGCAGCTTGACCAAGATTCCCAGGTCTGGGTCGGGGACTGGGCGCTGCCACCTCGCGAACAGAGGCTGACGGTCCTTGGCACGCCCTTTGGCAGTGACGCGTACATCCAGCAGCGACGGGAGCTCAAGCACGCGGAACATGACCGTCTCCAGCGCATCCCTCGCGTCGAGGACCCGTAAACCTCGTGGTTGCTCTTGCACTATTGCGCCGGCCCGCACGCAAACTACCTCCTGCGTGCCCTGCCCGTGGCCGCCACAGCCGAATATGCAGATCAGCACGATGCAGTCATGATAGTCATGCCCCACTGCCTCGCCATGCTTCTCAGCCATGCGGATGCCCCGCTGCCGCCTGGGGCGACTCGCGCTGCGCACCTCGCTCTGCGCTTTGATGGACTCGGCCTCCAGGCAGCAAACCGCGACCGGTACGCTGCTTACTGGGCCTTTTTTTTTGTCACTCTCCCGGTCATTCGCCTCCGCGCCCCCAGCGTCGTTGACCGCCTCATGCAGTGCCTCCGGGCCCCAGCTGCTGGCCGCATGCCCTCGGTGCTAGCTGCCACGCAAGCAGCAGCTTACCTGCACGACGAAGGCGCGCAGGTCGCTAGTTGGAAAGAAGCGATGCCGGGCCAAGCCGACTTGCGCCCCTGTGGCGACGAGCCCTCTGACTGCCCGCGCGGGTGGCAGCGGACTGCTGCCCACGCCTGTGATGAGCGCGCGCTCGAGATGCATTTTTCTGTTCTCATACCAGCTTCTCGCCCGCTGCTGCCTTCACAAGCATACCTCGGAAGATGTATCCATCCCCTCGTTCCACTTTCCGCTTGGCCCGCGTGCCTGCTCTTGCCGAGGCCCGCCCGATGAGTACGGCGACCACCGGGCCGCTTGTGCCACGTCTGGCATCCTCGCCTCCCGAGCCGTTCCGATCGAGCCGGCTATCGCGCGGGTCTGCAAAGAAGCCGGAGCCCGCGTTGGTCGTAACGTTGCCGTCGCGGCCGTGAACCTCGATGATCCTCGATGTGCCTATCCACGATGGCCGGCGCATCGAGGTCGTATCCAACGGCCTCCCGCATGGTGCCCAGTCAGCTGTGTTTCTCGGGATGGCAGACCACAGCCCGGCACAGAGATCCAGGCAGGCCTTGCTGTGCGCACAGCTGCCCAGACCTATCCCAAGCTCGACAGCGGCAGGAGGTGCCGCCCGGTCGTCTTTGGGCTTGAAGTTGGCGGCTGCTGGGACACCGAAGCCGCCTCCTTCCTCCGCCTGCTCGCGCGCGCCCGTGCCTTCGCCACGCCGCCCGCGTTCCGCCCAGCTGCTCAGGCAGCTTGGGTTCTCCGGTGGGGTGGCTTCGTCGCTGTTGCTGCGCAAAGGGCGCTTGCAACTGCGTTCTTCGAGTTGCCGCTGCGCACTGAGCCCCGTGCTGCCGGACCAGCCCCGGCTCTGGCACGAACTCCTCGCAGACGCCCGTTGGAGCAGCGGGCCTCAGCCGAGCCGCGTGCCGGGCCGCCCATAGCCGCAGAGTGGGATATAGGTGTGACAGGTGGAGACAGGTCCGCGAGAAAAAGAAAAAGGACTTGTTCCTCCTTGCCCCACGGATGTTGCTTCATCGAGCTGCGAGGGAAGCACGCAGTGCCGGCGTGGGATGCCTTGTTGGGTGGCCACCAGCGCCCTGCCGGCTTCCCGTGGTTTATTTGTGTGTTATGCGGGCCCTGGCTCGATTTCCAGATGTCTAGTGAGTGCATGCGTATCTTGCAGCTTCGTCGCTTCCGGGCGCCTGTACCCCATGCCGGGCGATGCCGCGACGTCCTGGGTGACCATTGCACGGTTTGTTGCTGGCCACGGTGCCTGACTCCTTCTGTAGTGAAACAGCCGTGGCATAGACACGAAGCGTCGTCGCAGCAGATTAGGTGGAGGAGAGCGTTTGAAACAATAAAAACACACGTTTTCACGTTGCCGGAGGCCTTGCCGAACGGTGCTCCTGACCAACCGCTGGCATAAATCCGGAACCTAACAGCAGGGAACAGTAGCTGTGTTGCGGAATTTTTTGTGCTTTATGCTTTGACCTGATCGTGGTCAAGCCGGCTATGCATGCCGGCTATGCATGCCAGCTATGCATGCCAAAGCATCGCTTTCGGTGGAAACGGTTGACGGTTTGTTACAAAACTACATGCCCACACGGTGGTGGAGGTCTGGGGATGAGCACGTGGAGATGCCAGTCGTTTTTTCCTTGGTGAGAACGTATATTCGTTCCATTTTGTGGATGCACTTGGCCAAATTTGTGTGTCGTCTCCGACATGCCAAAGCTAAGGAAATTGTTGTTGAACGACCGGTCGCCGACGAATGCCATTAAGCGCAAGGCCTCAGCCTCAGGTTTTTGCTGGCCAGACCGAGTCTAGACGTTGTAACATGCGGAGATTGACTTCCAGTGCTTTTTGTCGGCACCCGCGAACCTATTGTGTTGAGGTGTGTTCCGCCGCAGCATGTATGTAGTCGAAACAGGCCAGACAAAACACATCGGCCGCACGATGCTAGAGCACCGATTCACACCAAACACAGAAGCTTCAAAAAGATGTAATTTTTCCGGTTGGGATCGGAGGGCTTCAGCTTCACATCATCGCGGCGTTGCTGTGTTGACATGACTTTCTGAGGAGTGTGAGTTGCACAGGGCCTGCAACCACACCACGTCTGCACTACGAGTTTCCTTTGTCGATGGCAAGATGATGATAGCCGTTAGCTAGAACAAATGCGACTCCGGGGCAAAACGGCATAGCGGACATTGGCCTCTAGACTAGGCCTTGCTCGCGGACCGGGTGGGCACCCGGCAGGACGAAGAGAAAATGCACGCGACACGGACAACTTCTGGTAAAAAGGTGCCCTCCTAGAGCAATGCCACCAGCGTTCTTGTGTGCGGTTCAATCACGGAGCAGCAAAAGCTCGAGCGGACCTCACTGAGTGGTTCGGGTTGACCAGGCTACTATACCATCCGCACAGAGTTGGGACCACACATCGCGACCCGCGAACTACACCTGCAAAATCCAACTTTTGCAGCCGGCCTTCACGATCGAGACTACCCTTCGGCACCCATGCCATGATAGTGAAGGCGCAGAAAATCCACTGTGCTTGGGTGAGGCATCCATCAGTTCGCTTTCAAGAGCATTGTCGAAAAAACAGTCCACCTGCAAGCTGGACGCCGGACTTGATGTTCCTGAGCGTGCCTCGGCTGCACATGCTCGAGGGGGTAACAGGGAATAGCTTTGTTGCACTATCTTGTAAATCTGCCGTGCGGGCAATGCCTATTTGGGCTGTTTGCTGGGCACAGGGTTGGAAGCGAGCTGGTTCGGTTTGCTGATGCTACCAGGCTTCCCTCCGAGATCCTGAGGCTCCGGTGGTGTTGGCTCTGGTGGTCTGGGCGACAAGCCGAACTTCCACGACCTTGATCAAACCTTGGGCCTCAAAGTCATGAAGTCGCTGATCTGAATTGCGTCTAATGAAAGGGTTCACTGCCTTGATGGCTTCACGGTGTGCATTGACATGCGCTGATCGGCTTGAGCTCTCGTGCCCCGCCCGGCAGTCCGAATCCAGCAACTGCAATTTTGATCGCTAGGATTCTGCGAGCTTGAATAATTGGAACAATATGATCATCAGCCTTGTGACCGGACCCTTCCCAGGGCTGCACGGAAGTTTCGTGCACGAGGAGGGGAAGGCAAAGTTCGGGAGACGTGGTTGACTTTTGACGTGTCCTGTGATTCTATGATTTTGAGAGCAGTTATTCTCAACTTTTTGGGACGTCGTAGAAGTGAGCTTCTCACAAATAGACACATGAGAATACCAGGTGACCTTGTGTCTGATAGATTGTTGCCTCGGCATGTGCGGTTGCTGAAGATGTCGGAAGGTTTCGGGAGTGGGTGTGTCATGCATGTTGCGGACAAGTTGCTGTATGCTGTCCTTGCCGTGTTTGCTGTACTTTGCGGGAGGCTCGAAACCAACATCGCCGAAATCGGCTAAGCCCATGCCACCGACGACTGCAGGCACGGTTTTTTCCGGCATAGTGCTTCTGAGCTTAACGACCTGGAGAGGGTCTCCTCCGGGGAGCTCGCGATAAGGATTTTGAGCATATCCCTTATTTTCCAAATAAAGGCCCACGAGAGGCTTGGCCGGGATTTCTGCATGACGGCAAAGTATTTGCCTTAGCCTGGCTGTAGCCCTTTAAATTTTAGCACCTGCAGAATCGTAACAGCTGTGCAGTCGAAGACATGTCGGGGCCTGGGCATTGATTCTGATTCAGAAGCCGATGTTGTCTGAGGTGGCTTCCCTTCGAAGACGGCATCGGTCGAGCCACGTCATCACGGCGTGTTCGGTGTTTGTTTCAGATTTGTGTTTCGACCCGGTTCGACCAGAAGACGTGTATGAGTAAGCTTGTAGGTTGGAGTATTCCTGTCCTGCAATTGGTGTACATCGTTGTGTTCTTCAGATTGGAGGTTTAGGAGGCGTTTGAGGCTCAACGTCTTTCCCTTCGTCAACGTGTTCAATGGTCAGTCAAAGGTCAAGTGACGTGGGGTCATGGACGCATCACTCAGATGCCGGGTGCTTCAAGATCGGTTTGAGGCTTGTCCACGATTTTGAGGCCAGAGTTAGAGGCGGTCTGAGCATCTTAGCACATGATCCTTTGAGACAGAGAGTGAGCTAATGCTGATGCGTGTGTTTCCTGCCCAGGAGGAAGCTGATCACCCGGACAAAAAGCACAGTTTGTCGCTGCTAGCGCTGCCCCGGCATGTTTGCATCGGCGTCAACGTCTTTTGAAGGTGTCGACGTGCATCTTCTTTGTGGCATGGACTCATGTGTTTTGTGGTTTCTCGGGTGTGACGCCGTGCACATGCTTCAGGTTTGCACATGGGCGCAACCCCCACTCTGCCGGATCTCAGGTTGGTTCCACTGCCGGGGGATGTTCAGCCACAGGCACCCAGCTACTGGCTTGCAACAAGGACGAGAGGCACGACCTTTTCAACAGCTCGGGGATGTGTTTCGCAGTTCCAGCTTGGAACAACGAAAAGCAGGGTCGGCTCGACTTGTTGCTGCGAGTCGTCCGGGAAGTGTCGCCAATGCAGTATCTGCAGTGCACCGGTGTACTTACTGGCTGAACCAGCAGCCTAAACGTGTCAACACAAGGAGGATATGTTCGGAATATCTCGGTTCCTGGCCTTCCTGTCTGAGTGACCATAGCTTTTTGCAATAGCCTTTTCTTGTTCTGGGACGACACTGTGCAGCACAAGCGGGGCACTGAGCAAAGTTGCCACCTCAGCCGTGACAAGACTGCGCTACAACAGGTTCGCCGCTAGCACCACGAAAAGGCAACGTAGGCCACAAAAAGCTGAGCGACTTCATTGCACCGGTTTCGCAAGCAGTTTTGGACACGACTTCTCTCCAGAAAATGGCTCTCTTCGCTGAGTGGGCTGTGTGAAGACGGTGCGATATGCTGCAACACCAGGTAACTGCCCGATGCTACCCAGCGAGCCCTCCGGTGAGTCTTTCACACGAGAACGAGAACCGCGTGACACTTGGGCTGAACAGGGGCTTCTGGATGGTGGAGGCGGCTCGTTCAGAGGTTTCGAGATTCTGTTGAAACTCCTGGCCATGACAGCGCTAGCAGTCGCCTTCGCCTTCGAGGGGAATAGCTTGCCATCCAGCTCGTCTAGACTATAATAAGGAGCCTTAGATCTTTCTCTCCCCATGTCAAGGCGAGGCAAGAACATGAACCGCAGACCTGCCCTCGAGGCAAAGTCTTCTGGCATGCCCGGCCGCAGCCCAAGCAGCCCGGCGGAATTCCCATCCACGCGATGGTGCGCTCATCATAGGTCATTTCTAGGCCCCATTCTTGCACCGTTTCTTTCAGGGAGGAGCCGGTGAGGCAAAAACCAGCATAAACCCGACACCGTACCGCAGGCTGCGTGGAGCGTGTGAGCTATCAGAACACAAACCGTTTGCTGATTCATCTTGTGCGAATTTGTTTGACTTTCGAGCCTATGAAGCCTCCCGAGTGCGCAAAAAGGATGTTTCGAGGCTCTGCTCTGAAGCTGCTGTGGGTTACATTCGGACAGATTCCTACATGAATACGAATTGGACCTGGCGACCTGTCATCTTTGATCTCCAGGACCTCACTTGGCTACCACGAGCGGTGCCGAGACGACAAAACTCGCCACACCTCTGGGCCCACCCGTTGTACCCGTTCTGCAGAGCCCAAGCAGAGCACAAGAATCGGAATGCCCATGTTCTCTTGCACCTGACCTGTCTTTTTGCAGACGCGGGCGCCGCGAGTCTCCTTGGCTCCACGGGATTGACCCAGAGACTCTCAGCTGCAGAAGTAATCCTTTGGAGTCTTCGATGATGATAACACAGATAGTCGTCCAGCCCGAGTGAGCACATCGTGGGCCCTGCCGCTGCCCTGAGGCCTACTGGTATCGGTTACTAGCACTCGATGCCCTAATCTCACGACGCGTTGCCATGCTCTGAACGCCCGAACCGCATCGAGGCGAGGTGTCCCTCAGCCAGCTGCCGGGAGCTTACACACTCGCAGCTTTTGATGCTTTAGTTTTTTTTTATAATTTTTCCAACACTAAAGCATCAGTTTTATCGTCATATCCAGGTCGCAAGGCTAGGAGGTGTAGGCGTTGCTTTGCGCCTGTGCGTCTGTACAGAACTCAACGACTGGAGCGCCACGGTGGCATGACGGCGGATTCCACAATGACTCCGTAAGCCCATGATCGCCAACCATAGCGACAACAGCATCACCACCTGCAATGCTAAAAGGCAGGAAGTTCGCCTCACAACACCAGGCGGAGCAACACGAACTGAAAATTTCAATCGACAGCACAGACGTCCCGAAAAGTCCACTAGTCGGAGGGGCAGGCACTTGTGTTTAGACTGAAGCAGCAGCTCCGAATGTAACCATAGTAATCATCATGTACATTGTCCTCCTCCCATGTGGGTGATCATGCTCTGCTTCATATCATCCACATCAAGGCTCTCTGTATTTCTCAAATTCTGCTTCCCTTGAAATGCATGATAGATACTTAATGCTACAGCTTCAGCACTCTGAGGCGTAAAACAAACCACATTTTCGGAGTCGCATTCGTGTCGCGAGTCGCCAGCACATGGGTTGGTTGGAGCTTTGGTTGCCAGGTGTGGACTTCGTCTTAGTCAGGGACATGTCTATGTTTGGTAAAGGTCCAGGTCCAGGTCCACATGCGACAACAAGAACAGCAAGAACATGCAGCTACTCGTACAACAGCTACGCGTGCAAGGACTACTGCGGCACAAAAATGACTCGACAACAGCGACAGGAATCGACATTCCTGCTATGACGCCTACGACGACGACAAGACTGCGACTGTGCCTACGGCTACGCCTGCGACGACTCCTGCGACTACGACGACGGCGAAAGACGACGATGATGACCGGCCACTAGTGCTGGCACAATTACTAGTACTACTGCTACTACTACTACGACTACCACAAACTACTACAACAACAACAACAACTACTACTACGACGACGACGACTACTACTATTACTACTACTGCGACGACGACTACCACTACTACTCCAGAGCGAAGTTGTGTGGTATTAGACTCTTCCTAACAGCTGCCACTACTACTGCTACTATCACTGCTGCTATTTGTGACGATGGCATTTTTACATTTGCTCGGCAGGCCTTTGGGACATTTTATTACTTCCCGTACTAGGCTTAGAAGGATCTTATCTACGAATATTTTTCAGAGGCTTTGAGGGGCCAGCCTAGTCTGTTATTCGGTCAGTCGTTTTCTATTAGTACTGCGATTATGTGTTCTGCTTCTTGTTGTTATGGTCATTGTTACGTATTTGGAAGTTTATGTTTATGTTTATGCCTAGGGCATAATGATTACCATTATCTTCATTGTATTATATGTTTATACTACTAATAGTTGACATTCTTACTCTCATTGTCATTGCGCCTATGATTAGTGTTAGTATTCGTCTTGTTATTGATGTCAATATGAGTAGTATTCGAGACTCGAGCAGGTTCAAGCACCGGGAGAGCCAGATCATCCCAGCGAGTCCCGAAGTGCGCTCTAAACAGCTGCCAAGATGCAGTGATGCAGTCAGGGTTTGCAGATTGGGATTCTCATATCTCTGACTATCCTGCCGAGCTTTAAGTTTCAAGTTACTCGGTTTATGGTCGTCTCCTTTCCTGTCTGATTGTGCATCTAGCCTAGTTGTGAGCTGCAATCTCGTGTGCACTGCTGCCCTCAGTGCCATTGTTGCAGGTTGGCTTTTCTGAGTCTCATGAGGTAGCATGGTCTTGAATTCTGTTCGGAGACACATCCTTGCAAGATGGAAGTTTCAGGGTGTTCTTGGCGCCCGTCCAGCCACCGGGAAAGATTTGCGGCCAAGGAGCCCCAAGCTGCCGAACCTGGCTGTTACTTGCCTGGGAACCATCCTCCAATGGTTTGTTGGTGCGATAGGGTGTATACTGTGCGCCCGGGTGCAGCTCCACCTACGCGGTTGTGTGCTCCTGAGCATTTTTTTGGTTTCGTGTTCTGGTCACTTGTCTACGGCCTTGCAGCAATTGAAGAAGAAGAAGCAAATGCAAACCGAGCAGGATGGAGGAGTAACGCCAGATGGTCGTTTCCATATTGCAGGCAGTAGTCACACCAGTGTTCTATGCTGACAGCATGTCCTCCTGCTGGCCTGACATATGATTTCAGGCATTGGATCTCGACTCACAGCAATCGGATGAGACGATCAGAATGGAGGCATTTTGCATTTTGCCATGGCGTTTCTCTCCTTAGTTCTTGCTCTGCCCACTGCAAGATTTGCGGTCTGCGGTCGTTTCTCAAGTCGCAGCTGCTTTGCGGCGAATGACATTTCTTCCGATATTGGGCTCGAAATTTAGGGCCGGGTTGCAGTAAGTACAAAAAGGTAGCAGCCACAAGGCTCACAATGATAACCACAGAGACGGCCAAACGAAGCCTAGCAAGCAGGTCAAACGTACAAGCACAGTGGAAGAATGCCCATCATCAGACACCTAGTGACTTCAAGTTTCACTGCAGCAATACTGCTACGGTAGATGGCGCAAACTACGATTAGTACGATGAGTGCTTGTGCAACGTTCGTGAGCATGTCACTCGCAAAAAACATGCCAAAGCACAGCAGTCAGACGTGCCGACACGGCCACATGTGGGAATCGCTGGTTGCGCAGGTGGTTTTCATTTCAGCGGCTTCAGCGGCTGAAAGATGCACCCCTCGTCTTTCATGGTGTTTGAAGTACAGAAGCGATAAGAGTCGTAGCAGTATGGACGGTATTTCCGGTATTTCTCTTCGCAGATTTTGAAAGCAGTATGGAGATTAAATGAGATTAACAGTGAAGTGAAACAGTATCACCAGCATGTTCATGTTCATGCTCATGTGGATTGCAAATCTCACGTTCATAGTTGAGGCTGAAGTCGCAGGACAAAGTATCACAGTCACGGTCACCACCCCTAGCTCATCGTCAGCACACATCGTCATGGCCATCGTCACCATCATCACCGTCATAGGGCGATCCCAATGAGTAGCACGCCCTGCTTGGAAGGTGCTGCCGGTGCAAACTCCCAAAGCTCTCCGCGTCTGTCAGGGCCTTGTAGAGCGCCTTGGACCTGAAGATCTGCTTTTCGGATCTGAGGTGTCTCGTGGTGTAGGGTCGGTGTAGCTGAGGCATGTAGCAAGTTAGGGAAGCATGCAATCAGAGCAAGGGCAGCTGGTGGTCACAGCAAGTTGGGTACCGCGTGCGAGAGCCTCCCCTCGTACAGTACCTTTGTGATAGCTTTTGCAGAGGTAAGTGCATAGCATGTGCCTGTGTCGGTTTGTATGTCGTGTGTGTGGTACCTATTGCTGACTCGGCCGTGGTCTCTGCAGCTGAGGCTTTGGATGAGGCTCTGTGGGCTGACTCCCTTGGTGCAGTGGAAACCAGAGTCTGGAAGGCAAGGAGCAAAAGAGCAGGAGGGCTTTTGTTGAGTTCCGAAACATAGGAGGACAACTCGCTGAAGCTGCAACTGCCACCCCCATGGAGCTACTCCGGGGATTTTCTGGCAGATTTTCGTTGTGCTTTGGGCGGACCCCCCTGCAGGTGGCCCACAGTGGGTGGGGTGTTTGCTGAAAGAAACTGCGCGATGCGATGGACGTTTTCAACTGCACACGCCAACCAACCCTTGTCCAATGCATGAGCCCTGTGCGCAAGCTTCGTGCATTTTGTAGTGCATATCTTAGTTTGATCAAGTGTTCTGCAGAAGCCAGAAATCAGAGATTGACGAACTGCTCGAAGCATCCAAGGAGTCCGCTGAGTTTACGGAGTCCCCAGCTCCGTCTCCGCGAGCTCTGGCCGCTTCTAAGGCGTACCACTGCGACTTTTCTGAACTCTGCGAAGGGTTTAGGCGGTGGAATATGTGGAATGAGAGGAATGTGCTTGATGAGCCAACCCGCATGCAAAAGGTGTGGACATTGTGGACATGTCGCGCTTGCACCGCTACGACTCGAACCATGGGCCCTAAGCCCTAAGAACCTAAGTTTAGGTTATCGTCATCGCTCTGATTGAAGTGCCTGCAAGGCACCGGAAACGAAGAGAGGATTCATTCGCACCTCATAGGGAAGAGTGTGTGTGGTGCAATGTCTCTCGTGATGATTTGTTGGTGGATGTCAGACGATTTCGCTGAGGCTTTTTTGGATGCTAGGAGGCGAAGAGCAGGCGAGAGAGGATGCCTGGACGATCAGCGTCACATTAGATTGTTTGAAAACTAAGGTGTCATTCTTCTGCTGAATTTCCTTTTCGTTGTGCTGGCGGCCTCCTCTGTGGCGGTGTGTTCAGATCTGGATGCTTCAGAAGAGGCTTACACCCAGGCAGATCCGGCATAGTGAAAGTTGCAGATGAAATGCGGACTCATCTGCTTCTGTTTTTGCTTTGGTTGGTTGCTTATTGAGAGTTCAATTGCCGGATAAGGGGGTCCTTTCGTGGATGAACGTCGTTTTGATAGAGGTTTGAGCGAATGGGAACCCCATGTGCAACCGGACATCCTGCGGTGACGGTGCGGTTCCAGGTCAGGCCGAAATCCGAAAGCCACAGGCAGAAGCAAGAGACATGTCTGATAAGTACTTCCACATTCAATATGCCTTCAGTCCCCGTCTCTCCGAAGTTGTGCACCATGGTGTGGGCAGGTCCTAAAACTCCGGGGGAGAGCTACAGTTCAAGTTACGCTTGAATAAAGTATGTATGTGTATCTGACTTGAAACACTACACGGGGCAACTTGCAAGGCCGACGTATGAATATGCGTATGCTTATGTGCCAAATTTCACGTGTACATGTTTCTATCTTCGTCTATCGGACTGCCTGCCTAACTACCTTTTTGGACGTGTTTGGATTGCACTCGGACATACACGTGTCTTGGTTTCTTCCTTGCCGGCGAAGTGGGAGCTGAGAGATGCTGAGAAACGATAGTTGTTATGTACATCAGATGTGCGTGCATGGACGGAGGCCTCGGTCATGTGTCGCCAACCCCTCGCGACCGATCTGGCCTTCGGTATTGGGGCGCTGACACTCGGCATGTGATGCCCTGACCCAGGCGGAAGGCCTAAGCCTTGCGCGTCTAGTTGTACTGTATCCGGCAAACGGTCGTGTCGTGGCCCTGCGCGTGTTGTTTTTCCGGGGGCAGGGGTTGGTTGCTGGTTGGTCGTTGGTGGTTAGCGCTTGGTTGTTGGATGGTTGTCCTTTATGGCTTGTTGGGTCTTGGCCGGTCGTCGCTGGCGATTGCAGTTGTTGTTGTGGTGGTGGTGCCAGTGGTGGCTTTAGTTTTCAAGCCGGCTATCCTTGCATGAGCCGGGACGATCGCAGATGCCATCTGAGGCTTGCAGTCTGGTCTTGCGGTGGGTTGGGCAGCTACTTCAAAAGCTCGCGGCTCCTAGCCTGCAAAAGCTTCGGGAGGTAGCCTTGCCTCACGATGCCGGCCGTAGTTCCCTTGTGCATTTTATGTCTTCATGCAGCAGACACGGTGTGAAGTCCGCCCCGTCCTTTCTGACATGAGGATGCAGCTGCAGATCCAGGACCATCTCATGCAGGAAGTCGACAGTGGTTCGACTTATTTCAGCTGACTGCTGTCTTACGAAAGCAATCACACCAAAAGGCGAGTTTGGAGGCGGATATAGGACGTCTTTAAGACACAGAATCAAGCTCATACGCTCCTGGTCCGAGTGCCCGTGCTCATTGCTTTCTCGACCTGATGTTTCGGAATTCTCGCTGTACCGCCGGCCGAAAAAGTTTGGGAGCTGTCCTATTCCCTGTGCCATATGCTCCGCCTTCGCATGACATGGCCGAGGTACTGGCCTGACATACCAATGGAAAAGCCAGAAAGGTGGGAACAGAGAGGGGCAAGTGGCAGCGCATTGCTGTAAAATCAGAGATTTTTAAATTTGCACCAGGGAAACCGTGAGTCATCATCGCGTGCTTCCGGCAGCTATCCTCACGTGCCTAGTTTCGGATGATGCTACAGTTGCGGTTGCCCCCTCCGATTGTGGCCAGAACTTCTCCCGAGAAGTAGAAACCTTGTCAGTCTGCAGAGGCGTTGATGCAGTGGCACTGGGAGGCACGTGGCTCGTTGTGCTGGCTGCTCGTTCATGGATCATTGGATCCTGGGCTGCACAAGCTCCAAGGCCTACTCGAGTATATCAGTATATGACATGCGCTGCGCCCAAGTCCTTCTGGCCAGTTCGGGTTTCATTGGAGGTTCGAAAGTTCGAGCAGTCGTAGAAATGAACCGAAGCTCCCGAGGACCGGAGCTGATGGAACCAGTGGCAGCCGGGAGCCTCGCAGCGCAATCATTGAGAATCCCAGGAGAAAGGCCTTTTGAGCTATTGGATCTATTGCTTCGAACTTCGCTCACGACTTGCACCGTCCTTAGGAAGCAAGCGCTCTACGCGCTGGCCTGTGCCTGCCTCCTGGGAGCATCTCGGCTTGCAACCCTTCCAACGTGCAGAGAGTTTGTGGCAATGGTGCTGAAACTATGTCACGCCCCCATGTCGCTAGCATATTCTGCTTCCATGATTGAAATAGTGATGCGTCGCTGCATGAATGAGGCCTGTTATGTGCAGATGTCCATGTGGCGTGGAATCTCCTTGACGGTGGTGGCCTTTGCTCGGTCCGTCCTGGAAGGCCAGGAAGGGCCAGCGTTCTTGCCTGAGCTTTGACTTCACTTTTCGGTTGCAGGACAGGTTGTTACTCTGAGTCACTCTATCTCCCGTGTCGCACGCTTGTGGTGCCTCTGTGTGCGTCAAGCATGATCTATGCCATGCCCGTGGACGTGTGACTGAGCGTTTGTCGACGCCAGACATGGAGTGTCTCTCTCTGTCCCGCCGTGTCTTTGTCCGGCTTCGGGTGGCTCGCACTTAGGGCGTAGTCACAGCCCTATTTGAGGGTGCAGTCTGGCTCAAAATTCACCCACACCCTTCCACCTTGAGTCCTGCTGTTTTCACGGTGGTTTCCATGACGGGCTCCTTAGTCCCTGCCCCTGGGAGGTCAAGTCAGCAACCTCCAGGCACGGCAGCGATGGCGGGAGGTGCCGGGACAGAGATAATGGGATCTCTTTCTCACTTACCGCTCCGCAACAGCCTCAAGACAGTCTCTAACTAGATCCACAGCAATGACAGTGCGTTTTTTTCGTTTTGCTGTTTGATGCATGTTTCTAGAGGAAGCTGTGTTTATCTGAGTTCTCAAAATGGGCCGCTCACTGAGCACGGCTCGTGGCATGGATCTGAGGCCATCAGCTGCATGCGACAGACCTCTCGGATGTTTCAACTCACAGCCGCAGTGCCACCCGGTCGTGTGAAGAATGCATGACCGAGAACGAACCCTGAAGACCATGCTTAGGCTTGCTGTTGCAGGCCTCGCGTGTGTGGGCTTTGTGGGCACTAATTATGGCTGACAATTCTAAACTACGGAAGTGTTGGCAGGCAGTTCCATTCACAGCTGAACTCTTGTGCAGTGGGGCCTTCCAGGTGGCTCCGGTAGTTGAGGAGGTTTGAGCCCAGCATTTCATCAAAGCGGCGAGCGGTGGGCAGTCGTGAAACTGGTTCTCCAAGGCTGGCACTCACAACGGTGCTGGTCTGCTTCGGGGCTTCCTGGATGGAAACGTTCGTTTTTTCTCGCACCGCTCATGCCAGAAATGGTGAGCTAACATGTCTTCCAAGAGTGCGAAGAGCGCAGGAACAGAGGAAGGCGATTGTTGGTGCTGTTGCCAAAGCTTAGCCTGCAAAGTGGAAGTCAGAGAGCACGTAGGCTTAGGAATGCTTGAGCAGTTAAAAGCAGCCGGTGCCTTGGATGGAGAAAGGTCCTCTACGACTTTGACCGACGCCGCCACCTTGCCCAGTGGCGGCAAAATTGTTGAAGCAGTAAGGGGCTCTATTTGGGTTAGTTAGACTTACTTTTAGACCTTGGTGTGGTTGGGAAGTCGCGTTTTCAAAGCTTTGGTGCTTCGGAAGCGGGGCATGAAATAAAGTTGAAGGCGTCCATCGGCACCCGTCCGAGGTTACCCTGCGATGGAACTTTGGCTTTGCTCTTGTTCCCCTTCTTGTGGTTCCTCTTGTGCCTCTGTTGTGATCGTCCTTGCTACTTGTCCTTGTCTTTGCCGCTGATGCCATGGATGCTGATTCTCGTGCAGGCTCAGCTGTTGCTGCTGTTGATGATGAGGATAGTGATGATGGTTGTGGCCGCGATGTGTTGCTGTTGATGGTTGGTAGCGTTGATGCCGCATCTTTGTCAGCTCAACAGGAGTGCCACAAAGGGCAATTGAGAATCATGCCGGCAGCGAGCAGTTTCAGCGTTGCCGCTGACGCCGAAATCTCTGTCCTCGCTTGTGACAAAACTCCTGCCCGGGGTTGCATCAGCACTTTTCCTGGATCGCCCAGATCCTCCTCATGTGCAGCATCTTATTGCTGTGCCGGGTCCGTAGTCCGTGGGCAGAGCGGGTTCGTGCGCAGATCTCCTCGCAATGAGTGCTATAGCATTGATTTTTGTTTGTTTTTCTTTGGGAGGGGGAGTAGCCCAATCGTCGGCCAAAGGAGAGGGCGGCAGCTTATCTGTCCCAGCTCGATTTAGTCAATGCATTGCGCATGTATAAGACAGCCGTGTGGCGGCGAGTTTTCGCTTTTGGCAGCAATCTGGTGGACAAGCCGCTGTCGGTCACGTTTCGTGTCTGGCGTCGAACTGCTCGAATGAATGCTGTGTTGTTGTTGTTGTTGGTGGTGGTGGTGGAGGAGTTGGTTGAGGTGGTGGTAGTGGTCGTGCCGGTCGTCATGATGCTGCCGCTGCTGACTGTGGTGCTTCTCAGCAGTTGGCACGTGGTGTCGTTCGTTTTGCTGCAAGTGCTCCCTGTCTGTTTTCCGGTTTTTTGTGTCTATAGGTGATAATATGTGGCAATGAAGTGCCAGTTTTGCTAAGCACTTGCAAGCATAACATGCCCGAAGATGATTGCTGCCACTGCTATGTGTCATCGCTTTCATTTTGTGACGGTGGCGCGAGACCCTATCTATTCCCGCTACCTGATTGCTCACGGCTGCAGACTGCGCTGCCAACGCTCATCGTTGCCGGGATTCTTCCAGGCCCGCATCTCACCGGAGCATCTTGCAGGATGTCTGTCCATTTGCGGCACGGTGCTTGCTGTACATCCTTTTGGTAAGGTCGTAGTCCCAGGAATCCATATGCTAGCCTTGCACAATTTCACCCAGTGCGACAGATGAAGGCAATGCAAGCTTTTAGAATTGCACAGAGAGATGGGAGCCAAGCCACGATGTAGTTGCACTGTCGGAGAGGTCAGTGTAAGCCAGCCTGCAGGGCTGAAGGGTGGCTGTGCCACGAAGCCTGCCTTGATGCGCGTCGAATGCCAGTTGCGCTCTACGTCGCCGCTTCTTCGACTTCTCACTGCACGCGGCTGCCATCTCTGGTGCTCCGGCAAAGAAGCAATATTCAGGGCCGCAGGGAAATCTGCTTTCTTCATCGGTCAGGGTTGGTGGGGCAGGCATAGCTGCAGAGCGTTGTTTCAGAGAAGGGAAATCTGCCCAAAGAGCGGACATGGATCCCATCTGGCCATATGCCACCTCTCTCTGTCAGGCCGCTTGAAAAGCACACCGCAACGTTAAAGGTTCACACTGAGAGATGCAGGTTGGGGGTGTTAGCGTTAAGGGTCGGGGGCTTATTGCTGGAAACTGGGGGCATACAGTGTATTCTAGTGCAACAGTCATTGGGGCCTCGGTGGGTGGGCTGGCCAAAGGCCTGGGGTCGAGAGATCGACCCCTACGCCCCGCAGAAAG